CTTCCCTAAGCACTTAAATTGACCTGCACATTCACCTAGTAGTGTACTTTTAAAGCTACCAATCTGGTGCTCTGATTTTCTCTTGAGCATCTGTGAAGAAGATCACATGGGAGATGCAGACACCACACTAAAGGAGTTTACAACAAAACAATAGGCGGTATCTGGTATACAGGTATTGAAATTTTAGTGTACTGGGAACTTTGAATATACAGGCAGGGCTAGTTAACAGGGGATATTATCTTTTACTTAGAGAAGTCAGTCTGGATTATTTTAGTAGTCCAGTAAGAATGTAAGCATTGCATATTTTATTCCCTGTAACGGAAAACAAATGAAAGCAAGGAGGAGAACACAGCAATTAACACAAAACCAGCAGGGTCCCCGCTGGCCACACAAGGGCGGGCCTCTGGGAAAGAGAAATTCAATCCTACTTTGATGGGAAAGGCAGTATCTCCTACCACTGATTATAATACAAAAGCACAGTGTTTATACACCCAAGAGTTTAAGTCCACCTCATCCACAACGTCCCACGTGCGCTGCCAGAAGGCCGCGGGGCGTACCTTTGGAGGGTCCCACTGGGCACAACGCCCCTTCTGACACCTGGCCAGAACCTCGCAGAGCCAAAGAAAGGGCAGAAAGGTGTCCGGGCACTCGGGCGGTGAGAGACTGCTCCCTTAGTGCTGGACACGCCCAGGAAGTGGCACCAGGAGATGGCGGCACAGCGCCTCCAAGGGTCTCCCGAAGTGCAGCGTGCACCCAGGAAGGCCACCGGACCCACCGCGCAGCCCTACGGCGCAACGGGTTTAAGCTCAGAGAGGCGAGTTGGAGGCGGGGCCTCGGCGGGCCTTGGGAGCAGGGCCTCCGAGGGCTGGGAGGCGGGGTTGGGAGCAGAGCCTAGGTAGGCTGGAGGTAGAAACGCGGCTGGGCCTCGGTGGGCTGGAGGTAGGCCTGGGAGCTGGGCCTCGGGGGCTTGGAGGCGGGGCTGGGAGCAGGGCCTGGGTGGGCTGGGGCGGGGTCTCGGGCTGGAGGCGGGGCTATGGAAGGTTGGAGGCGAGGTTGGGACCAGACCTAGCTTTGCGTTGCCTGATGGGAATTGTAGTTTTAAGAAGTCAGGGGGCAATGGGGACTACGTTTCCCGGTGAGGGAGCGGCTACGGAGCGCCGCGAGGTACAGCCATATCTTTGCCCGCTGCTGGAGAGCTTGTGAGAGAAAAACCCGGAAGTGGCGGTTGATTCTTTACCTTTGCTGCGTGCTGGGGAAGTGTCTGCTTTTCTTTTCTCGCCGTGTGCCTAACACGTGACTCCTACGTTAGTTTTCCCTTGCGGTTCGGAGGTAGTGGCTGCCACCCCTAGAGGAAGCGAGGGGTGCGCCCTTCCTTCGGCCCTGCAGACTCGGAGCCTCCATGGGTCCGACCCCGAAGGCCAATGTGTGCCGCAGGCTGAGCCTTAGGGCTCTGGGCTTCTTTGCGCGCGACGCGGGCGTGGTGCAGAGGACTAACCTGGGCATCCTGCGGGAGCTGGTGTGCCAGGTGACCGCCCGCCTTCCTGGGGCACCTGGAGTCAAGCTGCTGCTGGGGTGCAGTTTTTTACGCGCGCAATTCTCTTTTGAAGCTCGTGTGCAGAAAGGGATATGCGCACAACTTCGAGGGTGTTAGTGAACAGGTGTTAATGGGGTCACCAAGTGGTTTTAGTTTTTGAAAGCTACTTTTGCTTTTCTGCAAACGGCTTAAAAGTTCGGCACCCAGTTAAACCAAAACGTGTGAGCAGGGGAGGAAGAATTAAAAAATAATGTTAATAAATTAGCGATCTACCATAAAGTGGTTGTGTGGTAGAGGGTTATGTGTTCTTTCCTAAACTGAAATTATTTGTGTGTTTCAGGAAAGTACTAAATTTAAGAATGTTTGGACAACTCATTCAAAGTCACCTATAGCCTATGAGAGAGGAAGAATATATTTTGACAATTATCGGTGCTGCATCAGCAGGTAACTTCTTAGTGATAATTTTTGCTATAATTCACCTTACTGTAGTTTTTATAGAACCACGTGGTTTCGTTGGTGAAATTGGAAAATGAGCCCATAATAAAACTAGATGGAGAAATGCATGTAATTTAAAAATCCAGTTAGATCCAAAGTTGCAGGTCTCATCTTTGTAAATACCAGTTTCACACAAAATTACAGCACAGGCAAAATAATAGCTTGCTTAAAGTACTGTTTATTATTTTATGACATCTAAAAGGCCAGAGTCAAGAAGGCTGGCTACTAAATAAATAGATGCTGCTCTAGAGAAGGCTATCTTGGCACAACAGTTTAGAGCTGATGCTCTAGGTACATCTTGCTTAGCTGGGAAGAAGGGGACATGCCCTGGTTTAAACACTGTAGACTACCACTAAATGCTTCTCATGTGCTTTGCATTACTATAAACAGAGACTATAAACAGCTGTCCTTTGATAATTTTCATCAATTTTTCTGAAAATGGTGGCTACAAAGTCCCTCATGCTAGAAGTGGAAATCTGGACATTTTCTTAGATGTTCATAACCCTCATGATTGCACCTAGTGAAACTAAGGGTGACTCTTTGGTACCATTTAGTACCCAGATCATTACTTTCCCAAGTTGGAGGTAGTTTTAATTTTTAAAAATTTCATTAAAGTAAATGCCGTTGCTTACTGTTCCAACAGTAAATAATATAGGAGGTTTTTCTTTTGTTTTGTTTTTAACATGCCAGTCAGGATGTTGTACCCACAGGTTAGAATCACATGAAACCTCATCTGATTCTTTTTGTGTGTGTGTGTGTGTGTGTGTCTTTTTGAGACAGGCTCTCCCTGTAGCCCCAGCTGTCTTGGAACTCGCTATGTAGACCAGGCTGGCCTCCAACTCAAAAAGATCCGCCTGCCTCTGCCTCCCAAGTGCTGGGATTAAAGGAGTGTACCACCATGTCCAGCATCATGTGATTCTTATTCCTGTGACATTCTGTTTGATTTAAAGTTTTGCATTACTGAGAGAATATCAGAGGTAAATAAAATGCCATCCTAAGAATTGTTAGCAATAGCTTAAAATTCATCAGTTGAAAAGAAAGTACCTATGACCACCTCTCAGTAGCACTCAGAGAAGTATAGGGACTAGTGAGGGAAGTGGCAGTCCTGAAGCTTCAGCTGAAGGAGGCTGAGACAAGGGGGCTCATGTGACCATTGGCGTTTAAGAACACCTGGGCAGTATTGCAAGACTATTAAAAAGTAAGCAAATAGAAAAATTAAGAGGCTTTTCCTCCTCAAGGATACAGTGTTCACTTTTTTGGTAGGGAAAGGGTTTATTCAGTTGTGAGGCTTGAGCCTGGGGCTTCCTAAGCACTGATGTCCTTTTTCTTTAAAAAAATTTTTTTTGAACAGTGTCTTGCTAAGTTTTTCAGGCTAGCCTTGAAGCTGCTGAAAGATACAATATTCAACATTTGTAGATGTATATATTTAATCTTTCTGAAAGAAATAAATTAAAAGCATATAAGGAATATTTCCTTTTGTATCCATAAATTTTCATTCTAAGCTGATTTTTTCATTCTTAAGTATCAGAACATTATGAACTCAGTGGATTCAACAATTTATAGTAAATATTCAAGGATGAAAGAATTCAGTATGGGGCTGGAGAGATGGCTCAGTGATTAAGAGCACTGACTGCTCTTCCAGAGGACCCAGGTTCAGTTCCTAGCACCCACATGGTGGCTGACAGCCATCTGTAATGCCAGTTCCAGGGGATTTCATACCCTCTTCTGGCCTCCAAAGGCACTGCACACATGTGGTGCACTGACGTATATAGAGATATATAGTCATATACATAAAATAAAAATGTTTAAAGACTTTTTCAAAAAGAATTCAGTATAATTTGATTTTGGAAAAGCCATGTCCAGGTATCTCCATCCACATAGGGAAAATCTAGAAGAAAACGAACCACAATGTGAATGTTTGTTTGGGGTAGTTTGATAATAAGTATTATGAACTATTTTAATCTTGTGTTTTTAGCTTTTTCCACCCCTATATTTGTGCGTTATGAATTCTGTGATCAGAAAAAATGAAAAAGAAAACAATTAAGGAAAACAAATAGCAAGTTGTAAATTGCTGTTACATATTGTGTGAAAGAAATACCTTCAATCTGAGCAAAGACTGTCTCAGTTAATAATAATAATAGTAATAATAATAATACTTTATTTTTCTTTTTTCCCAGTATTGCATCAGAGCCAAGAAAACTTTATGAAATGACAAAATGTTCCAAATCAGAAAAAATTGAGGATGCTTTATTATGGGAATGTCCAGTGGTAAGATTTGGGTTTGGAGCATTGATTTTTGAAGCATTTTTAGCTTAGAAGAACTACTTATTGTTAATATATGAAGCTTTAAAATTTAAAGATCATTGTGTTGGTGTTTACTGCCAAGCCTGATAATCTGATGTATTCAATCCCTAGGACCCACATGGTGGAAGGAAAGAACTGTTCTAAAAGTTGTCCTCTGACCTCCACAAGCATGCTGTGACATTTGTACACATACATGTAGCCTGGTCTACGTAGTGAGTTCTCAGGCCAGCTGGGGCTACGGGAAGACCCTGTCTCAAAAAGACCGGGAAAAAAAAAAGTCTATTTGTTCAGGTGGTTATGATGTTGATGTAATAATAAATGCCTTGAGTTGAGTTGATGGCCCCGTCAGTAAAGTGCTTATCATGCAAGCATGAAAACCTGAGTTCAAATCCCCAGCACCCATGTTAAAAAGCAGGTGTAGCAGTAATGCAACAATTATGTATGTCTTTAAAAGTAGATTCTTAAAAGTTTCCTCCATGAATACAGTAGGAAAATAATAGGATAAAAATTTAAAATACAGGAGCTGAAGAGAGAATTTATATGTTAAGAGTACTTGCTGCTCTTCCAAAGGACCTGAGAGTCAGTTCCCTGAGCTCCTGTTGAGTGACTCCAAGCTACTTAGCTACTTGTAACTCCAGCTCCAGGGGATCAAACACCCTCTTCTGGCCTCTGTGGGTACCCACACAGATATGGCATATATACACATACACATAAATAAAACTAATTTTTTAAATTAAAAATACAATAAAACTCATTCTGTCAGGCCAGCATTGCTCTGGTGTGCATCTATCTTTTCATGACATATTAGCTGGTCTGTAGGTGCTAAAGGCATTTGGAGGAATTAGACTGAGTAAAAAAATAAAATTTTAGACAAGGATATTTATAAAATTACTTCTCAGTCTTTAATACCAGTCCTTCTAATAGTACTGATGTGTGTCCTGATTATTAAATCATCTTGCCAAATTCTTTTAATCATAGCCCTTTTTGAGGCTATTACTTTGTTTTTTGAAGTTTTCCATAGCATCATTTCTAAGAAATCCTCTTAGGGAATGCTACAGTAAATTAATCATGCCTTTAAATCTAGTTAGTTGTTCTTTAGGAAAAATAGAACTCCTAGTTGATAATCAAAAGTAATGTTTAAAGCAAAATCAGCAATATTCTAAGTTTACTGTTAAGTTTTTTTTCCAGGCTGTTGTTTTTGCATACAACTATAAGTTTTTGTTTTTGTTTTTTCTCTTTCCCCTGGGTATTTTCCTTCTTTATAGAAGTTTCCTTTTTAAAAATTAGAAGCTTGAAACCTCTTTTCTTCTTTAATTGAAAGCTGTAAATAATTGTGCCTTGAGCAACTTAAAGTCTTTTAAACCACTTTCTTGAGGGAAGAAGTAGAGAGATGGTAGATTTCTTAATTATGAAAGTTTGAACACACCAATTCAGCTACCCCAAATACAGAGCAGTCCTGGAAAAATAAGGTTTTAATTCTAATTCCTATTCTCATTTCATAAACATTTAAATTATTTTGTTTTTATTTGTGATGAAGCTAGATTTTCCGTTAAGGACTGACAGAAACATTGTATTGTTAATGTACTCATGAGAAACTACTTCCAAATTTGTAATTTTTTTTGAGATACTGTGTAAAATACAATTTTTGGTTTAATAGTTCAAGCCTAGAACATATATTGCTACAAATGTCTTGCTAACGGACGAGCTCTAATGAAATGATACTTAGGTAAAACACTGTAGTAAAAAAGTATTTATGTCATTGAGCAAGAATTAAGTGTAAGACTTCTGAAATTAGTAAGTTAAAAAAAAATAAAAACCAGCATGGTGGTAGAGAGCTGTAAGTAGTAAAGGCAGGAAGACCAGAAGTTCAGGGTCAGTCTGGGCTACATAGGACCCTGTCTCAGAAATAGCAACAAATAAATAAAGCCAACCAAACAAAAAACAAACATTTCTTTTACTAGCATTTGAAAGGCAAGACAAATCTCATTCTCTTCCATTCCTTTTTGTCCTAAGCAAATACTAAATTAATTTCAACTTCCCAATTCTTTTTAATAATATTTTGTTTATTGGCCGGGCATGGTGGTGCATGCCTTTAATCCCAGCACTGGGGAGGCAGAGGCAGGCGGATCTCTGTGAGTTCAAGGCCAGCCTGGTCTACAAAGGGAGTTCCAGGGCAGGCGGGGCTACAGGGGACCCCGTTCTAAAAAAAACCAAAAAAAAAAAAAAAAGTTTATTTATTTATTTTGATCTTTTTGAGACAGGGTCTCCCTGTAGCCCCAGCTCACCTTGAACTCCCTATGTAGACTAGGTTGGCCTTGAACTCACAGAGATCCACCTGCCTCTGCCACCCAAGTGCTGGGATTAAAGTCGTGCACCACCATGCCTGGCGTTTTATTTATTATTTTTATTTTATGTGTATGCAAGTATTGCCTGCATGTATGTAAGTGTACTTGTGCATGCAATGCCTACTGAGGTCAGAAGAGGGAGTCAGATCCCCTGGAACTGGAGTGACAGACGGTTGTTAGCTGCCATGTGGGTGCTGGAATTCGAACCTGGGTCTTCTGCAAGAACAGCCAGTGTTCTTAATCACTGAGCCATCTCTCCAGCGCCTCAACTTCCCAATTCTTGACTTTCCTCATATAACTACCTTTTAATGCTACAGTCTAAAAGCAATACATTGCTCCTCTTTCTCTTCCTCCATTAGACCATTACCCTGTAGTATAGCATGTCAATGACAGAAGAGCCCAACCCACCAGCACCTCCCTTGCCTGGGCTATTTGCTGGTGGAATAGGCCATCTTTAAAACCAGGTTCATTTTTCAGTCCTCCTTTGGCTTCATTGATTCTGGATTCTAATTTCTCATTTGAATTTAAAATAGGGTACACATTGGGGGCTGGAGAGATGGTTTAGTGGTTAAAAGTACGAACTGCTCTTGGAGAGGACCTGGGTCCAATTCTCCACACCCATGTCAGACACCTCACAGCAGCCTGTAACTCCAGCATTGCGCCCACATACATAGGCACACACACATACACATAATTTTAAAAAAATAATAAAATAATTTTTTTGGTCTTTTTTCTTTTGAGACGGGGTTTCCCTGTAGCCCCAGCTGGCCTGGAACTCACTATGAAGACCAGGCTTGCCTTGAACTCACAGAGATCTGCCTGCCTCTGCCTCCCAAGTACTGGGATTAAAGGTGTGCGCCACCATGCCTGACTCTTGAGCACCCATTTATAAATCATGCACATACAGTAATAATAATAGTAAATTTTAAAAGCATTAAAAAATAAGTTAATGGTTAGAATTAACTGTCCACAATCTTGTCTTTCCTTGCCACCTTCGTTTGTACAGTTAATATTTTTTCTTTGGTTTACTTACTTGACTAAGAATTTAGCTATTTTATTTGAGCATTGAGTATTGATGAGTGTTCATGGCCAAGCAGTTTTATTTTTACACTTCTTTTTAGGGAGAAATACTTCCTGACCCCTCAGATTATAAGTCCTCACTCATAGCACTGACTGCTCATAATTGGCTGCTTCGTATATCAGCAACCACAGGGGAAATCCTGGAGAAAATATACCTTGCTTCTTATTGCAAGTTCAGGTATTGTATGTTTATTGCTTAAAATTTTGTTACAAAAACTTGAGGCTTTTGGCCTAGGAGATTTTTTTTTTATTTAAATAAATAATATATTGAGAATTTCATACATGCATATAAGGTGTTTTGATCAAATCCATGCCCACTCCCTCCCCTCCAACTCCTTCCATATCTCCCCATCATTTTTTTCTGATAACTTCATGTTCTCTTTCTTCTTCTTTGATTTATTTATTTTTATGGGGCTTTTGGCTACCCTAACATTCCCCCCTCTGAAGCGGTAACCCTAAAATCTTTTAAAGATTAGATATAAGCTCCCAAGTACTTTCGACGTTTTTGGTATTGAACAGATGTTGCTAAGAGGCCCAAGGACACTGTGAGTTTTAGCCAAGAAACTGGCTACTTTTCTTTGGGGTCTTTTTACCCTAACTGCCTAACCAATTCCTACCTCCTGTTCTTCTCACCCCATTCTCTGAAGCGGTTACCCAAATTGCCAATGGAGAATCGGGCTGCTGACTGCTCTGGCTTCTTCCATGCTGAACAGGGATGCAGGGTGAAGCAATTGGAGTACCCCTTCAGTGGGTCTATCTAAAAGACTCCCAAATAGCAATAATTCTTATCTCTAGGGGGAAAAGAAAGTCCTTGAATTGTGAATAAGAGATGTGAAGGAGAAGTAAAGGCAAGAGTAATTAGCATTACAAGTTCTAGGCAGGGAACTATAAAAAAGTCAGAACAGGGAAATTTTCAATTGTTCATATGAGAGTCCATTGGAATTTCTTGGCAAGGACTTCCAAAAGCATCCTTCTATTGGGTTCTTCCTGATTTTTCCTTATGTCAAGGCTGGACTCAAGAGTGATGGATTCGGGATTTGCTCTCGGGTATTTTGATAGCTGTTGGAGTGGTTAGAATCAGTGTCAGTTCCCTCTCAAAGGCTTCTAGATAGGGGGAGAAAACAAATTTGTCCATCATTTTAGAACAATAGCTGGTTGTCTCCCTTAGCTACAGGTGGGCGCTATAGTATTGGAGACCAAGATTTGAAGTCATACATCTGAGCAGCACTTTCTGGTTAGGAACAAAATCATCAATGAGAAATAATTGTCTAAATAACTTTTTATATAGACTTAATCCTAATGTCTGAGAAGTATAATCCCTTGAACTCTTTAAGAAATATACTGATGTTTTTACTCTTTGGTTATACTTTCCTTTTGGGTGTTTAAGACCATACAGTTGGCCCAAATAAATCAATTTGTTTTTACACTTAAGGTCATTTGAGGATCTGTTCCTCAGGGGTCACATGGGCTTGGGAGGAGCTCCTGGTTTCTTTCTTTTACTGGTTCCATCTATGTGAAGAAAAATCAAAGGTCCTGCTCAACCATGACTGGCTTCACTTGGAAGCATGAATGAGATGTTTCCTCTGAGTTGACCCTCCTCTTTGTAGACTGGACACTTGTTCAAGTCTATCTCGTGGGGTCTCGATGTCCTCCCTGAACAAGAGGACAGATGACTCACCACAGTTACAGGACATTTTGAGAGATGTTCCATAGTCCCCAGGAACTTAGTCGACCTTGAAGGGCAAGGGGCAAAAACTGTCCTTTAAGGCCCTCTGACAACATAAGTATATGGCCTAGGAGATTTTAAACCCCTCCTTAGCCCCTCAGTTTTTCCGGTTATATTTTTGTCTCAGTTTTATAAACCTGTTCTTTTTCTTCCCTCACTCTCCTGTATTTGAATATCTGAGGATAGTGACCCTGCAGTACTTGTCCTTGTATCCTTAATAAGTAACTAACCTATACACAATAGTTAAAAGATTTTTTTAAAATTTCCCGTTAGTCTCTTACAAATATTTTCTTGTACAATGCTCGTGGGTTTTCTTGAACCATTGTTTGTTTCAGTTAAGTTACCATTCTAGTGAAATCCAAGAAATGTTATTTTAACTACTAGTTTTGTAAATTAGATCTAAACTTTTGGAATCACTATGCCTATGCAGTTTATAAAAGTACTAATTTTAATACTTTTTATAACTCATTTTAAATTGAAGTGGTTATTTTCTTTTCCTTTTTGCTTTTTTGTTTGTTTGCATTTTGAGACAGGATCCTCATGAATCCTCCCTCCTCTACCTCCCAAGTTTTGGGATTACAGGCATCTACTATCACATCTAGTTTACTCAGTGCTGGGGAATAAACCCAGGGCTTGTGTATACTAGGCAATCACTTCACCAACTCAGCTACATCTCTAGCCCTGGCTATTTTGTTATCTAAGGTTTGAATATTCTTAGATCAAAAACAATTTTTAACTGGGTGAGACAGCTTATGTCCTTAATCTCCCAACTTAGAAAGCTGAGCCAGGAGGATCAAGCACTCAAGGTCACCCTCCAGCCTGGGTTACATGATACCTTGTCTCAAAAAAAAAATTATTAAAGAAAAAAATTTTTTTAGACTTTAGAATAATTACATTTACTTTTTAAATAGAGATACATCTATATAAGAATTTGGTGGCAATTACTTAAGCTGTTTTTAAAAGCTGTTTATTAAAAATAGATTGCTTTTATAATTTGTTACAAAAAACCCTTTACTTACAAAATACCACACTGAGCATGGTGGTTCCTGCCTGTAATCCCAGCTTTGGGATGCTGGGGCAAGTGGGACAGCAGATTCAGGGTCAGCCTGGGTGCCCTAGAGTTCCAGGCCAGATCTCAAAACAAAACACTGCCCCCAATATAAAATAAAAGTAGAAAAGCAAATAAATTATTTATAGTGTTTTAAGTGTAAAGGAACTGATCCGAAGGATTAAATTCTTCTTCATTCTTTCAAAAGGTACTTGAGCTGGGACACTCCTCAAGAAGTCATTGTGGTCAAGTCAGCTCAAAACAAAGGCCCAGCCCTGGCCCAGCAGGTACACATCATTAAACAATCAATAAACCAAGAATTTGCTTCCTTAGGAATTTGTACACTGTTTTAACTAATGATCTTTGCTTTCTGTAGAATGCTATTTAAGTTTGAAGCATTTTTTTTCCCCCTGGATCATGTTATTAAAATTAGCTTTCTTTTTCTATTTTCTATTTGTTTCTTTATTTATTTGTTTATTTTGGGGTACTGGGGATTGAGCCTAGGATCTCATGCATGCTAGTCAAATGCTCTACTTTTTTTTTTGTTTTTTATTTTATATATATGAGTGTTTTGCATGCATGCAAGTGTGCCCATGTCATGCAGTGCCCACAGAGGCCAGAAAAGGGCAACAGATCCCCTGGAATTGGAGTTATGGAAAGTTGCCAGCTGCTATCTGGTTGCTATGTGGGTGCTGGGAACTGAACCCAGGTCCTCTGCAAAAGTAGCCAGTGCTCTTAACTGCTGAACCATCTCTATAGCCCCAAATGCTCTGCTTTATAAAGTCTAAAGACATATGTCAGCAAATTTGTTTCTGTTGGTGACTTATGAGGAAATACTTAGAAAGCATTTATTGAACACTTTTTATAAGATCGATACAGATATTGCTCTTGTGGGTTTTATTTCTTCACATCCTAGAATAGGACATGCAAAAACAACTACAACAAGAAACAGATTATTATATTTTCTGTTTCCCTTCAACAGGGTCTGTGTCTAGTTCCTTCTTCTGTTTAATTCCTTATCTTGACATTCCTGTAACACTGTCAGGTAGATTAGTTACAATTCTAGAGTGCTTTTTCGTTTAGGGGATTTAAAGAGATGTTTTATCTTTGTGCTTGTTTTTGACACAGTCTAGCTATGTAGCCCATGCTAGCTTCAAACTGGAAATTCTCCTGTTCACCCTCCCAGATGCTGGGATTATGTACCTTTTAAAAAACAAATTAAGACCTCCCTCTGCTTCCCTGGACCTGCACAACTCGCAGGCCTCTCTCTGGGGTAAGTCGATCATGCCCTCCACACCTCGACTCCTTCAGCCTCATTCACCCTCCCATCTCCTCCGCCAGTCTCTCCTCCTAGCCTGGGTCCTGTCCCATTCCTTATGTTGGCACCCCAGACACCCAGACACCTGATCCTTTGCATCCAGACCAACTCAGTTCCTTCTTAGGTCCTCAGGAGCACTGGGCTTGGCCCTGCCCTCACCTCCCTCTACTTCCCAGGGTCTGTACAACCTGCCAGCCTCTTTCCTGAACGCCAGGGCAGACCTTTCCTCTTCCTGATCCTTTGCATCCAGACCAACCCAGCTCCTCAGTGCAATCCCCAGGAGCCGTTGGGGTCGCTTCCTGCCCCCATCTTCCTTTGCATCTTTGGGTGGCAAGGCCATCAGCTGCCCTAGACCAGCATCTTTCCTGGGCTTGGCTCCCAGGCCAGCCCAACCCCCAAATTCCTGAGGCCAAAATCTTTCCTGGAGGGATCCAGACCTTAGAAGAAAGCCTGAGAGCATCTGATCCTCATCTGACTTGGGCCTCTGTGGGAACTCCTGAAGACAAAAGCAATCTGGCCACTACAATATAAAATCAAAAGAGAGAACCGGAAGCTTAGACAAACCGGCTTTTCATTCCCCAAAAATAAACAACAAAGACACGTAAAGTTCACAAAAAGAAGCAGACCTAAACTTGAAGGCTTTGTCACACAAGAATCAGAAACTACAGAAGAAATTCACATGACAAAATTACCAAGAAAAAATAACATGAAAAACCAAAATAACATATCCCCACCAAATAACAATTGTCCTCTAGAGGAATACAATGCGAATCACCTAGAGATAACGCAGGACATGGAACTCAAAAAAAAAAAAACAAACATAATAAAAAAATTCAGTAAATTTAAAGAACACACAAAGAAATCAAAGAACTGAAGGAAGATAGGGATAAACTTCTAAATGAATTCAGAAAAAAATCAGAAAAGAGAAATACTAAAGACTACTCAGGCTGAAATGAAGAAGGAAGTGAAACACTCAGTAAACCAATTAGAAATGACAGAAGCCTCACCAATAGGATGAATGAAATGGAAAACAGAGTATCAAGACTGGAAGATAAAGTGGATGAACTAGACCACTAAAGCAAAGATTATGAAAAATTTAAGAAATCTCAAGAATGGAATATGCAGGAATTGTGTGAGACCATAAAAAGACCAAACTTGCGAATCATAGGCATACAGAAAGAAGAATTCCAAGATAATGGCATGGACCAGATCTTCAACAGAATCGTGGAAGAAAATTTCCCAAAATTAAAGAAAGACATGTCCATACAAATACAAGAAGCATATAGAACACCAGATAGGATCAGAAAAGAAACTCTCCAGCGCACATCATAGTAAAAACACTAAATGTACAAAACAAAGAAAATACTGAAAGCTGCAAAAGAGAAACAACAAGTCACATATATAAAGGAAAACCCATTAGAATTAGAGCTAACTTTTCAGTGCAAACTATGAAAGCCAGAAGAGCCTGGACCAAAGCATTCCCAGTTTTAAATGACCACAGATGCCAACCCAGATTATTATACCCAGCCAAAATGTCTATTATAGTCAAAGGGGAAAGAAAAATCTTCCATGACATAAATAGGCTTAAGGAATTCATGTCCCCCAAATCAGCCATTCAGAGAGTTCTGGAAGCAATACAAAGAGCTGAAGAAAGGAATGACTATGCCCAAGAGGTTGTGGAGAGAAATTCAATGAAGGTATACCTGTGGAAAAGTACAGCTATATCATGAATATAAACAAATAAAAATGACAGGATTCAATACTCATCTATCATTAATAACTTTAAATATTAACAGACTGAACTCCCCAGTCAAAAGACACAGACTAGGTGAATGGATTAAGAAAAAAAAAACCCATCTTTTTGTTGTCTGCAAGAAACTCATCTCACTCTCAAGAACAGACACTATGGTAAAGTGAAAGGATGGAAAATATATACCAAGTAAGTGGTACTAAGAAAAAAGCAGGCATAGCAATTCTAATATCTGACAAAATAGACTTTAAACTAAAACTAATCAGAAGAGATATAGAGGGCCACTTCATTCTGATCAAAGGAACAATAAATCAGGAAGATGTTACAATCATGAACATATATTCACAAAATTCTGGTGCACCCAACTTCATAAAAACAATTCTACAGGACTTTAAGACCCAGATTAATCCCAACTCATTAGTAGTAAGGGACTTCAATACTCCACTGTCTCCATTAGATAGGTCAACAGGGCAGAGAGTTAACAGAGAGACATCTGAATTAAACAATACCATATATCAAATGGACTTAACAGACATCTACCAAGTATTCCACCCAAGCACCAAAGGACATACTTTGGACTCAGCACCCCATGGAACCTTCTCCAAAATCGACTATATTCTGCGGCACAAAACGTCAAGAAATACAAAAAGATTGAAATAATTCCATGCATTCTATCAGAACACAACGCAATAAAGCTTACAATCAAGACCAGAAGAAGCCCTAATCACCACATGAATACATGGAAATTAACACACTCCTGAATGATGAATGGGTCAAAAGAGAAATTAAGAAAGAAATAAAAGTATTCCTGGAACTAAATGAAAAGGACAATACAACACAACAAACCCTCTGGGACATGAAAGCAGTCCTTAGAGGGAAGTTTATAACTCTAAGTGCCTACATCAAAAAATTGGAAAGAACACAAATAAATAACTTAACGTTGCACCCAACACACTTGAGCAACAGCAAATGAAACCCAAACCCAGCAGACAAGAAGAAATAACAAAAATCAGGGCAGAAATTAATGAAAGTGAAACAAAGAAAACAATACAAAGAATCAACAATTCCAAGAGCTGGTTCTTTGAAAAGATAAACAAGATTGACAGACCACTAGCCCAGTTAACCAAAAGAAAGAGCACCTCCAAATCAACAAAATCAGAGATCAAAGGGGAAACATCACAACAGACACCAGAAAGATACAAAACACTATAAGGGAAGACTTTAAAAATCTATATGGTACTAAATTTGAAAACCTAAATGAAATGGACGGATATCTAAACAGCCAGTAAAACTAAACCAAGAAGAGATTAACAGCTTAAACAGACCCCTAACACAGAAAGAAATTGAAACAGTAATACAAAACCTCCCGACTTAAAAAAGCCCAGATCCAGATGTATTAACAGCAGAATTCTATCAGACATTTAAAGAAGATCTACATCAAATACTACTTAATTTATTCAAAAAGATAGAAATGGAGGGAGAACTTCCAAATTCCTTCTATGAAGCCAGCATCACTCAGATACTTGCAAACCGCATACAGACACACATCAAAAAGATCATGCAGCATGATCAAGTTGGCTTTATTCCAAAGATGCAGGGATGGTTCAATATACATAAGTCAATCAATGTCATAAATCATATAAACAGGCTCAAAGACAAGAACCATATGGTCATCTCAGTAGATTCAGAGAAAGCCTTTGACAAAATTCAACATGCAGTTATGTTCAATAACTAGAGGGAATTGGATGGGAGGGAACATACCTCAACATAATTAAAGCCATATATAACAAACCCACAGCCAACATCATTCTAAATGGAGAAAAACT